AACAAGCAGGGGTGTTCGAAAGTCGTGCTTAGACATTCTGGGACACCCTATATTCACATATTCACCTTAATGTAAATCCGACTTGAATGATTCATTCCTGTGTGCTACACGGAGATGAAAAACTACCCAAAATTAAGTACATTTCCCTCAATTCCGGGGTTCAGCCCAATAACCCAAATTTGAGTAAATCGCATATAGTAGTTTCCATTTAACACCAGCAAAAAAACTACCTACTCTTAAGTATATTCTACCCAAAATTAAGTTTAATTCACCTAAATTTGAGAATATGCAATTTACTCAAAAGTAACTTATTGGGCCGAACTATATCGTTGGGTCGAATCTCTCGTTCCTTTTTTGACAACAATAATGAGTGCAAGTGAGAGGCTGAAGTCAATATTAAGTAAAAAGAACTCAAATTTTGGGTAGTATTTTTTCTCCGTGTAGATCGAGAAAGTGCGAACAAACGTCAAAAGAGTAAATCAAGAACAACATGTGAAAAGGGCATACAAGCTTTTTGTAAACAAACCTTCTTATCCCCTTTTCTCGTGACACATATGACACCAACGCAAACCATTAACATTAGCGGGTAGGGGAAGCTTTTCCTTCCCGATGATGTTGTTGGTTTGCGTGGGCGACCCTCGGTTTGCGAGAAAAGGGCCTACAAAGGTTTGTTTACAAAAAGCTTGTATGCCCTTTTCACATGTGGCTCTTGAAATGACAATCGCTGCACCACACGCTAATTTCAACGCGTTCAAGATACATTTAACGTAAAAGGTTCTACGGATTTTTCATCGGCGTGACATAAATTTATTCGGTGGCGTGGAAGATTTTACTTTGGCGGCGCGCCGGCTAAATTTCATCGGCGACGGTGGCGCATGAAAATCGTCGGTGGCGGCGGCGTGGCGCACAGGTCTAACTACGAGGCTGGCGAAGTGTGGCCATGGATCGAGTAGAGTGGAGACGACTTCTTCGGACAGCAGAGGACAACAAGGCCTTAGCCTGATTGGTAAGGTAAGTACTTATCGGGAGTATCTCGTTTTTTTGGTACTGGTCATTATAGTCTGGTACGCAGCTGAAAAGTAATGACGTTTTTATGTGCTACGAGATAGGACTCGGAATGCTAAAGAAATTACTTCTCTTTAGCATTTCTCGACCCAGTACGCAGTTCAAAAGAAATCGTTAGAGGAAAGATTGATTACATTAGTATCGTGATCGACATGAAGGTGACGCATTCTGAAAGAAATTTCACTTTCCTTGTGGAATAATGGTCTGATCAATTCAGGCGTAACATTTGATAACGGCACAAAAGCTTTTGTAAACAAACTTTTTGAGGCCCTTTACACGCGAACCGAAGTACGCTCACGCAAACCAACAACATCATCGGATTGGCAAATCAAAGTTGGCACCAGGGTTGCTTCCACTCACTTGCTATAAAAAAATATTTTTCGGAATTATGCAATCATTAGATGTTATAATGATATGTTGTATTTGTAAGTAACAAGAAGATGGTGTAAAGTATGTGTTTGACTGATAAAACCTGTCAATTCCGCTTTCAGAGCGTCACAATCAGCGATTTTATGATTCGTGAGGGTTCACTCAGAGTGAGCGCTCACGAGTCGTAAAATCGCTGATTGTGACGCACTGAAAGCCATATTGACAGATTTTATGTGTCAAACGTTTACTTCATGAACTCTTCCTGTAACTTACAAGCACTAATTAGTATTATACTATTTCATGATTTCATAATTTCGAAAAACATTTTTTTATAGCAAGTGAGTGGAAGTAACCCTGGTTGGCACTCGTGGAGAATAGAAAAACTATGAAAGTGATGATGGTTTCAAAATATTCCACGGGGAAGTACCGTGCCGATTCAAATTTCGGACACTTAAACTCGAATTTCGGACACTTTTAAAAGTTGATTATCTCGGTCGAATATGATCCACATGTCTTGTAAATTTAAAATTTTTTTGACTAGTGCCCTCCACGATCATCTAACATTATTACTTTGTTTCTAACTGGATGTAATATTTAATTAAAAATGAAAGTGTCCGAAATTTGAATCGTCCGAAATTTGAATCGGAACGGTATACGAGTGCAATCTTAAAATGCTTTTATTTTGTGAATAGAGCATTTTATTTAAATCTGGTTAGTGCTACGTTAGTAGAAAATTTAAGGTCTACTCAATAGACATATAATACAGAAAACATAATTTCTTTTCAGATTTTCAGGTGTAAACATAGACTTCAGCTTTTCTACCACTGTAGCAGCAACCAGATTTAAATAAAATGCTCCATTTTCAAAAAAAAAAAGCATTTTAAGATTGCACTCGTATACTTTCCCGTGGGAAATTTTGAAACTATCATCACTTTTATAGTTCTTCTATTCTCCACGAGTGCCAACTTTGATTTGCCAATAGGGGCAACTCTCATCTTTCCGAAAGTGGTATTGGTTTGCATGGGCGTACTTTGGTTCGCGTATAAACCCAAGTAACCAAAAGTTCTGATAAAAGGCTATTTATGGCTTAAGCACCTTGGTTGAAGGTGGTCTATAGAATTCTAAGCAGCCTCATTTTTAAGTCGTTATAAGAACTTGAAAGTTCCGGTACCATAATTGAAGAGCATTCTAAGCAGCCTCTGGCGGAACTTGAACGGAACTTTTAGAAAATAAATTAAAAAAGGTTTTTATCCTCTACACCAATTCTATATTTAGTTCGCACTTTTATGAAAGTTATTTCTAAAGGCAGGTATTAATGTGTATTGATTTATCAGCATTAGTATTAGTAATGGAGCTGTTGAAGAATTAAACCCAGTCCTTCTGCGTGAGAGTCTCAGCACGAACCACTACGTCATCTGAAATATATTAAAGTGAGCTGTTATTCCGCCAATTGTTGGAGTTTTCTGAGCCTGCTGACTGACTTGAGTACGAAACACAACACCTTGAATTGGTATTTGCCCACATGGTATTCCATCACACTTGTGGCGTGGTTAGCAATCGTAGATCACATGCCGAATACACGTGTTCGAATCCAGGAAGTTACTTTATAATTTATTTTTTATTTTTGGATAGAATGTTGCATAAATATAAGAATTATGATTTATTCGAGCCACTGATTATTTCATATTTACGTACATTAAATTTTGTTACAAAAAAGATTTGTGCGGATTGCTTCATGTGGCTTGAAAGTTCTGTCGGAACTTTATTTGAACTTTATGGAACTTGAAAGTTCTGTCAGAGCTTTATTTAAACTTTATGGAACTTGAAATTTCTGTCGGAACTTTATTTGAACTTTATGGAACTTGAAAGTTCTCTCGGAACTTTATTTGAACTCTATGGAACTTGAAATTTCTGTCGGAACTTTATTTGAACTTTATGGAACTTGAAAGTTCTCTCGGAACTTTATTTGAACTTTATGGAACTTGAAAGTTCTGTCGGAACTTTATTTGAACTTTATGGAACTTGAAAGTTCTGTCGGAACTTTATTTGAACTTTATGGAACTTGAAAGTTCTGTCGGAACTTTATTTGAACTTTATGGAACTTGGAAGTGTTGAATGCGGAACTTTTGGTTACTTGGGAAGGGTCTTAGAAAGTTTGTTTACAAATGCTTTTGTGCCGTTATCAAATGTTAGGCCTTTTCCGTTAGGTAATTTTAACGTTTATTGTAAAAATGATGTTTTCGATGCATTTTGACAACATATAAACTGATAATTCTTGATTTTAAAATTTGGCGACACTTCGCTATGATCTCAAAATCTAACAAACGACACCTCCCTATAGTTGTAAAATTTTGGGAATAATCCTCAAAAATTACTTTTCCGTATTCTTTTCACTGAACTTTCTCTGTAATCTCTATTATTAGCAAATGTTGAAATCAAATCCATGTTCTCTATATATTTTTGTACCAACTTAATACATATATTCATCCACACACATTTTGTGAACTCAATAGCATTAAATTACGCACAATGCATGCAATTCTAGATAGCGCTGGAATTAGGGCGTAACAGCTTTTGTAAACAATGACTTCTCTCGAGGATTTCTCGAAAATCATGGCTCTTCCTGGCAAATCGATATCACCATCGAGTAGGGGAAGTTGGTTTGTGTAGGCGTGTCTTGAATTCCTAGAAATCATTGAGAGAAGTCATTGTTTACAAAGGCTGTTACGGCCTAATTCCAGCTCTATCTAGAATTTTAGTTCACCGAGAAATGCCTTCAAACATTCGCTGCACTGTTGTTGTTTGAGACGTTGAAAACACAATGTTCAAACATCATGTACAAACATTGGACGCGCCCACATGTGTGATATAAATATGTTTGAACACAAGGGTAAAAAGTTTATGTGTATGTGCAAACTTGAAAGGCAGCAACACAGCGAAAACACGTTCATCTTGAACGCAACGATGTATGTTCAATACCGAAGACTGCCGTAGCCCGTGTAAAGTTTCGTAGTCCGTGTAAATTTTGTTACCAATCGTGTTAAGGAAATAAAAGGTACAACTGACTTAAAAAAATCAAGATGGTAGGATTTCAAGATTTTTAAAATAGATGAATTCTTTGGAAAGCAAACTGAATACGCATTGATACCATAATAATGAAATTGTACTGATTTTTTTGTCAGCCAGATACAGATTAAAAAGATTTTTTTGCGATGAAAATACAGATTGAAATTCGTAAAAATGTGGCATCACTGAACAGCACTGGTCCTTGAACGTCATTTCAGAATTTTCTTAAAATCGTAAATAATCTGTGATTCAGGACATGTCGAAATTGATGAAGGATTTATGATCACCAGATTGTTGTTTACTTTCATGGCACAGTCTTAATCTTAAGCCCCGTTATCTATGCGAGGTGAATCATTTTGATCTTATCAGGGCAATGCTATCATGGCAAATGCAACGGTGATTTTTTTTAACGGTCATGAACGTCTTTTGTGACAAGCAATTTGATATTTTTTTGTAGAGTTCAGACACTTTTCTCACTCCAAGATCATCCTCAAACTCACTTCCAGGCTTCACTCAATTGCCTGTAGGCGCTTAAATCACTTGTAAATTTTCCTAAACTTCTTTTGCTCCGACAGACGGTCGCGTGTTAGTTCCGGTATTCAGTTTTTCTTCCTCAAACGACCACGGTAAACTGACCACCGTTCGTCTCTGAATGCTTCGAGGTGACTTTGACAAGGAAACGTTGTCCACACACTACTGCACAAATAGGATTAGGAATCATCGAGCAGCACCGGACCGATCGATAACATGACACCACTGGCAGCTGCGACTGTAATACAGGTCAACGTTGGTTGGTTGGTTGAGTCGGGCTTAAGGTTCTACAAAGGGTCATTATTTTGTTTACTTCTTCTTTTTGAAATATTCTTCGACCATCATTTTCTAAATGTATTGGTAAAATTCATTGGAAGTGCATGTCCCCACGCCAAAACTGCCCATTTTTCATAAATATCAACTGGTATGGTGAGGAAAACTTAACCATCTCTTTTCTTCCTTCATTTCAATACAACAGCAAATGTGATGTCACACTATCTAGTGGATAAGAATGTAGCAGACAAAACATAAGCACTGCCAGACTGCGCTGTATGCAAGTTTGTTTACACCCCTGAGCGGGAAAGTGTATAACAGGCTACGTGCACTGCTGCCATCAACCCTGTTAGTGTTGAATTCAATCTTCTGTGACTTTTTTAATTGGACCGGTAAAATGTTTAAAATGGTCATTTATGTTTTATTTAATCAGTTTTTGATATTTATCCACCATTAAATACATCCACTCATCTATGTTAATAAGGCAGACTTCGTAATTAATTGTTTCAATAAACTTAAATTCATTGCTAGAGGCAATACATCTGGCACCGCTGTTTCAATGATACTTTCACGATTGCTAGCAAAGCAGTAAAGTAGAAATGGTTTTCTTTGTGATGAATTTTGTACACCAAGAGTTTTGTGAAGCAGTTGTTTTGAGTTTCGTGTATTCGATTGCGTTTAATTGTGCTATACTTCGAAGAACACAAGTAAGTAAATACAGTGAATGTGTTTTACCCAGGAAATTTTCGTGTTTTACCCACGAAATACATGTTTTAAATTTTCGTATTCATAATATATGAATGTATGTGTAAACTAATGATGATGATTTTATGATATTTAAAAAAGAAGAAGAACACAAAATTACTTACCCTTTGTAGAACCTTAATAGGGTACGGTGGCCGGGTGTAGGTTGACTCGTGCCCGCAGATTAGCTGCATATCGGCTTGCGTGTACTGAGTCATCCATTTGGCACTTATTATTTGGTTAAGGCAGACGACAGCGCGTTAGTGAGTTTGGAATACAAATCAACGCGAAACTTTGCAAGTGAAGGGCAACATTTCATGTTAAAATCATTCTTTCGAATTTGAACATTTACCCTACGCCTGGAATCTTGGTCGTTATCAATGATTGACGATATTGATACGTGGCTATGTGCCGATATTTTCTTCTTGATACTATCTTCATGTGCTGCTTTCGGAACTTATAACTACTCCCAACTTTGCCTACTTAGTATTGCATGGGTTTGAATTTTGTGTGAAGTGAACCCGCTTCTCGCGAGGGTGATGTGCTTCCGGTTAGCTGGCGGTCCCGCTCGATGTCGTTATCAGCCACTATGATACAAATGAAGCTATGGGTAGCACCTTGTAGCAAGCACTGGCCCGAACTGATACAATTTTCAAAGTCGCGATTAGATAATGGTTCGGGCAGGAGCAGGTGAGCGATATGCGTTCATGGGATTCCTACGCCTACGAGTGGAGTTCCCAGCTGGAAAAAAATATCCCAATTCCGATGCCAGCATTGTAGGTACCTATGTGAATAATAATATTTACAATTTTCAATGCTTCTTGTGAGGTGCGTCACTGCCTTGAGAGCTCTCAGCCAACAGTTAGCCAATAAGCCGCGCTCGCCGGCGCCGCATGTTTGCGGCTCCAATCAAACATCAATCATTTACGCCACATATTTTGAGGTGATTCATTTCTTCCCGGCCTCTTGATTGCACTTGAAGCGCTGTGTTTGCGACTGAGAGGGTGTTGTATACTAGAGATGGCCAAATTACAATGGTTGATCCATTCTTCGGCAAAAAATATACAGATAGAGTGTGTGTTGGTTGATGTCAGTGTAGCTTGTTTAACCCGGTGCATCGGTGGAGATTCTTAAGACCTCAATTTTTCCTTGTAGAGTGGGTGTACCAGTTATGGCTGGTATTAGGGTCACTTTTTTCAAGCCAGACTATTTTCAACTTTTTTTACGTGATCTTATTATTTGAAGATAGATTATTCTTATTGGATCTGATTGTCCAATCGATGCCCACATGTTGTTCTAATTTTCGAACAATTCGAAGATGTTGTGCTTCTATAGAACTTTTTGACATTTGATTGTCTTTCTATATCTACTCATTTGGCTAAATAAAATTCCCTGAATTTTCCAGGTTTTCCAGAATTTTAAATTATAATAAGAAAGCTACTTTTTATATATGACAATCAGTTTTAAAGAAACAGCTTTACATCTTCTTCTTCTTCTTTTTCTTCTTCGCATTTCAAGCTTATTGCATTTCCCTTATTAGCTTATTGCGTGCTCTCAACTTAGTGTTCTATAGATGCACTTCCACAATTATTAATTGAGAGCTTTCGATGCCTGTACCATTTTTGCATTGATATAATTGTGTGGCAAGTCCAATTATACTTCTATGCCCAGGGAAGTCGAGAAATTTTCCAACCCGAAAAATTCCTAGACCGGACCGGGAATTGAACCCAGCCGCTTTGTAGCTGCGCCTTTACCGACTGAGCTAAGGGAGACCCCAACAGCTTTACAATAAACTTCATTAAATGTTGAAGTTTAACACTTACTTAATTTTAGTAAGTTTAAGATCATATTCCATGTACAAGTTCAAGATATTGAAACGGTAACATAAGGGAAGTTTACATTTTGAAAATATGGGCAATTTTCTGGGAGAACTTCAAAGCGGTTCTATTAGCGTCTGGAAATTGCAGGAACTTTAAAGAAGTTCCTAGAATTTTAGAGAACTTCACCGGTAAGAGAACTACAGATATATACAGAATTTGAGAAAAAGTGTGGAAACTTTAAAGAACTTCTAAAGGCTGACTAAAAGTAAATTGTGTTGGGAATCGAAAATCTTTGACAGTGGTTTGTTTACACTTCTATAGAGAACAACTGGTGCAAGTTTGATCAAAGTAGTTGATCGCGTTGAGAAATAACGTCAAATGGAACTCGAAACAAGAAAACATATTGTGCACGAACACCTGGAAAATCCGGAGTGGTCCGATTCCAGGCTGGCTAAAGTGCTGAAGATGCCGAAAACAACAGTTTGTCGAGTGCTCAAAACCTACAAGGAAACCCTGAGTGTGGAAAGGAATCAGCGGAAGGTGTTGAGATGCGTTAAAGCCAACCCCGGTCTTTCGATCCGAGATGTGGCCAGAAGGTACAAAACCAAATTTCAAACGGTGCAGAACATCCTTGCCAGGGAAGGATGCAAGTCGTATATGGTCAGTAAATATCCGAACCGGCACATGAAGTTGAATTCCGTGGCCAAAACGCGTGCAAGGCGCTTGAACGACCGTGTTTTGACGAAACACAAGGGCTGCACTTTGATCAATGACGAAACATACGTCAAACTCGACTTTAAGCAGCTTCCCGGTCAAAAGTTTTACATCGCGACTGGACGTGGGGATGTGCCGGGAAGATTGAAGTTCGTGTTTGCCGACAAGTTCGCGAAGATGATTTGGCAAGCGATTTGCAGTTGTGGCCTGAATACGGAACCATTCGTCACATCCTCGACGATGACATCCCAAGTTTACATCGAACAATGCCAGAAAAAGCGTGTATTGCCGTTCATCCGCTAGCATAAGGCCAAATTTATCTTCTGGCCCGATTTGGCCAGCTGCCAAATTTTGACCAATCGAAATATACTGGGCGATTTCAAAGCAGCGACTTCGAAGAAGCGGCGGGGCAGTCAAGGACATCCAGCAAATGTGGGCAAAATGGAAGAAATGCGCTGATTCCGCGGCCGTTTCCACTGTGCGGGCACTGATGGGCTCCATCAAGAGGAAGGTTCGAGATTTCGTTCAAACTGGAGAAATGTAACCACCTAATGCTGTTACTTTGAAGTTGTAATGAAAGTACTGTAAAGCAACCATTGATTTTTAAACTTATTGAATCACGAATTACAGGTCTGTTAGGTAGTTAGGTACCTCAGAAAATCTAAAACTAGAGATCTTTGGGGAAATTCAGAGATCCTAAGGGCAGTTCCAGTTACTTTAGTGCAGACTTATGGAGGTCTATTAGCGTGAGTTAAGAAAAATTCTGTAAGTTCCATGATATACTGAAGAAAAACAAATCGAGACCCCTTAAGATGTTCCTAGTATTTCAGGGAAGTACAGAGACCTTCAGATAATTTATGGAAACTTCCAAAATATGTCACGAACTTCCTAGAAGTCCAGAGAAATTTAGGGAAGTTTAAAGGAGTTGCATTTATTTCAGAGTAGAACCGAGGCCTTCAATATAATTGAGAGCTTCAGGGAAACTCCGAGAACAGTCAGATCAGAAAATCAACGGACAGTTCAAGTAATTTCAAAAAAAATTCGGAAACTTCAGAAAAGCTCCGAGAGAATTTCTGGAACTCAGTAAAAATTATTTGAACATCTTGAAAATGTGAAAGTATTTTAAGAGTGATAGGATCCTATACATGGACATTTGAAGAGCTTCAATTAACTTTCAAAATTTAGCTAAGTTTTTTTTTTTATTTATTTGATCGAATTCACTTTAAAGAGCAAAGAATTCTTGTTCATTATACAAAACATCGTAAAGCTATATTCAAAAGGTACAACACAACAAACGCTTTATCTTCCGCAATCCTATAAGCCTCCTTCATCAGAACGGGATCCGCTTCTAGTGGTTTTATTGTATGACAGTATCGGGGGCAGAGAGCTTCCATTGCAGAAATGGACGTAAAACCGTGGTAATCACTCACACACTCATCACGAAAGGGTTGCTTTCTAAAGTCGACGACGCATCGAACTGCTGATGAAGAACAATGAGGAAGACCAACGCAATGGTTGCTGCCGAGTGAACAGATGATCGCGTGACACACATCACATGTGCACACATCTAGAGTGGCCTGCTTCTGTTGAAAGCTAAGTTGATTAGAGAACATCAA